CCAGAGTGATTTTCAAGCCAAGACTCTAATCGTGGTCTGCCATGTGGGAGTTCATCACCCTAATCACCATGCCATCTGCTGGCCCCACTGCCTCTTCCTTTTAAAAGTGAGTTCAGGGGTCTAGCAGATGATGTGGTGGTTAAAGACGTTGGACTCCCATGTGACTGATCATGGTTCAAATCCTGGACCTGGTAGCTTCCTTTCTCTTTCTAGTGAGTGCATGTAGCCTATAGCAGAAATTAATAAATAAAATTAAATAATTTAAAAAATTATTTTAAAAATATTATTCAAAATAATTTAGGGGACATGCAGTTGCCAGAGAGACAGAGACAGAAAGTAAGAAATCATCCCCGAGGGGGAGATGGCCACTCCACTATCCCTTCTCTTCCACCTTCTGGTCCCTAAATAAATAATAATTCTTTAAAAAAAAAAAAGTGTGGGGAGGGGTCCAACAAGTGGCATGGTAGATGGGGGCACTGGTCTCCCATGTGGCCGACCGCGATTTGAGTCCTCTTTTTCACTTTTCCTCTCTCTCTCTGTACCTCTCTGGTCAAATTAAAATAAATAAATAAATAAAGTTAAATGTTTAAATAAAAGGGGGGGAGTTCAGAATACCGGATCCTGAGTTGGACTTTGGGTGCCTTAGTACGTACTGTCTATGGGAATGTCTGACTGCCCTGGCCTTCAGCTCGGACTAGAAATGGACTGAGCCAGGTTTTCTGAAGGTCTTCTCACTTCAGGAGCAGTGAGACCTTACAAATGCACCTATTTTTTAAAAAAAAAGAATTATTTTTTTCAACTTTATTTAGATTTATTTTAATTTGACCAGAGAGGGACAGAGTGTGCGAGAGAGAGAAAGAGAAAGTGAGAAAGCAAGCCACCAGGTTCAAAACTCAAAACCACAGTCAGCCATGAGGGAGTCCACTGCCCTTAACCACCATTCCACCTGCTGGCCCCACAAATGTACCTATTTTATAATTATTTGTATGAATAGATATTTTGCAGTTTTTATTTTTCCTACCCATACATCTTTCTAACTGAAAAACCATTATAATTGGGAGCAGATCATTATTGCTACAGATAAAGGTGTGTGGAACCAGACAGCAAAATGGCAGTAAAATGCACTGCTCTGAGAGACTGACTCACATAGGAAGGATTTTGAGTTCATATTCAGGGACCTCCTTGAATATGCCTGGCATACAGTACCTATGCCCGGAAGGCCAGTTAAGGCATCAAGGTCTTGGTGGGGGTGCCTGTCTCTCTCTGTCCAGCTTATGGGAGAAAATAAACTGGTGGGGGTGAATTGATTTTTTAAAAAATATATTTAATTTTGTCGTTGTTATTTATTATTTAATTTGACCAACGAGACAGAGAAAGAGAAGGGGAAAGTGAGAAAGCAAGCTCATAGTTCCGAGACTTGAACCATGGTCAGCCATGTGGGAATCTAGCACCTTTAACCACCATGCCACTTGCCGGCCCCAGTATTGATACTAATTTTTACAGAATAGTTTCTCTAGACAAAACCAATTAGGTCAACAACATTCTTCCAGTCAACGCTCAATTCTGTCACTGCTAACCCCCATGTAGGGCTTTTGGTGTGATCTGAAAAGATACATTTTACTTTTATGGGATGCATAGACACAGAAAATTCTGTTACGTGTTCCTTTCACTCGGACTCTATCAGGTAGTTCTACCAGCCCCAGTTTGAGGCTGTCCTGCCCCACATCTTCTCCCCTCAATCCTTCTTATCCAGAAGAAGATGTTTGGATGAAGGGATGAAGACCATGGTATACATGACAGTGCTGATGTAATGCCTGAAAGCTAAGCTTGGATTCCAGTTTCTACCCTCATTGAATTGAATGTTTCCAACAAAGAAGTGGTTGTCAACTTGCAGAGGAGAAAGAAAGATAAACAGATTTATAGCTAGGTAAAATGTAGGTCATAAATCACACACCTGTAAATATCAGCATGCAGGCCTCAGGAAGAAGTTGCAATAATAGATTAAATAATTCTCCCCTATTCTGTTTCTTTCCCTTCAGCAATTTGTATCAGAAAGTTGTCTTGCCTAAAACTAAGAACTGTTACACAAGGGAGCTTCAGGAAAATCATCCCATCATAAAACATTTTTGAGGTCTATTCCCACAAAGGGTTAGCATAGTACAAGCTCAGAGATTTATATATAGAAAAATCATCATTGCACTCCACTTCACCAACTAGTACTGCCTGAGAATGCGGGTTACAGAAAAATATAAAATATCATTTAAAAAAGGACCCTCAACTGTACTAAGGAAACACATACATCTGAATTTCTCACATGGAATTTTAAAATGATTTTTTAAATTAAATACATTTCAGGCTTTGATCCAGGAATAATCTAATCCTCTCACATGTGGAGCTTGGCAATATTTAATATGTAAGCACCTGGAAAATTATCTGTTTTCAAAAAATTAATTTCTGGAGCCTCCAAATGAAAAGATTCTTTGAAGCAGAAAATAGAAAAAGATTGTGAATGAGCATATGTGTGTGTGAAGAGGCTAAAATTAATATATGTAATCATGTGGAGACTACTTCATTTTCTAAGCAGCTAGTACAAAAATTTCTTGAACTTGTCTGGTTTTAATTGAGAAAATATTTTGAGGATCTCAACTGCTAGGACCTGCTTTCAGGAGAAATAAAGATGTGAAGTTTTTGGACGGTGAGCAAGTCATTTTCCATGGTTCTCTAAGCAGAAGATAATAAAGATACCTAATGCTTATTAAAATTTAAAGAAATTTTCTGGGGGCATGGGGTGCAAATCTATTGTGCCCAATTTCCATCTTTTATATAATCATATAGTAAAATCCACATTGCTCATCAGTGCTGTCATGTGTTATTCTTTATTTTTTGGGGGGAGAGGTGTTTGCTATAGGGCGCATGCGCTCGCCAGAAAGACAGAGAGACACAAAGCTAGAAATCACCCCCCAGGGGGGATGGTCATGCTGCAATCCCTTCTCCTCCATTCTTCTCTTGGGATCTTGGGCACGCATGCACACACGCCCAGCATGAGTTTAAGCCACTGAGTCCGGGACTTGAACTGCAGTCGACTACCTGGGAGTCCAGCGACATAGCCATTATGCTAACTGCTGGTCCCATCATGTGTTATTTTCTTCTCTGATAAGCTAGGAAATATTCAGAACTCCCAATCCAGGTGGATTTGGGATAAAGAGGATAAATATTTGGACAAAGAGATGAGAACTTTAGAAAACTACTCATGTTGTTTTTGCATACTTTGCATGTGAAAAGTTTGCATATGCAAAGTATGCAACCATCTAGAGTGCATGCCTGCTTCTGTTACTGGGAAATTATCCCATTACTGCAATTATCATGTGCAACAATGTAGTCTATAGCAGAAAAATTATTTTAAAAATATTATTCAAAATAATTTAGGGGACATGCAGTTGCCAGAGAGACAGAGACAGAAAGTAAGAAATCATCCCCGAGGGGGAGATGGCCACTCCACTATCCCTTCTCTTCCACCTTCTGGTCCCTAAATAAATAATAATTCTTTAAAAAAAAAAAAGTGTGGGGAGGGGTCCAACAAGTGGCATGGTAGATGGGGGCACTGGTCTCCCATGTGGCCGACCGCGATTTGAGTCCTCTTTTTCACTTTTCCTCTCTCTCTCTGTACCTCTCTGGTCAAATTAAAATAAATAAATAAATAAAGTTAAATGTTTAAATAAAAGGGGGGGAGTTCAGAATACCGGATCCTGAGTTGGACTTTGGGTGCCTTAGTACGTACTGTCTATGGGAATGTCTGACTGCCCTGGCCTTCAGCTCGGACTAGAAATGGACTGAGCCAGGTTCTCTGAAGGTCTTCTCACTTCAGGAGCAGTGAGACCTTACAAATGCACCTATTTTTTAAAAAAAAAGAATTATTTTTTTCAACTTTATTTAGATTTATTTTAATTTGACCAGAGAGGGACAGAGTGTGCGAGAGAGAGAAAGAGAAAGTGAGAAAGCAAGCCACCAGGTTCAAAACTCAAAACCACAGTCAGCCATGAGGGAGTCCACTGCCCTTAACCACCATTCCACCTGCTGGCCCCACAAATGTACCTATTTTATAATTATTTGTATGAATAGATATTTTGCAGTTTTTATTTTTCCTACCCATACATCTTTCTAACTGAAAAACCATTATAATTGGGAGCAGATCATTATTGCTACAGATAAAGGTGTGTGGAACCAGACAGCAAAATGGCAGTAAAATGCACTGCTCTGAGAGACTGACTCACATAGGAAGGATTTTGAGTTCATATTCAGGGACCTCCTTGAATATGCCTGGCATACAGTACCTATGCCCGGAAGGCCAGTTAAGGCATCAAGGTCTTGGTGGGGGTGCCTGTCTCTCTCTGTCCAGCTTATGGGAGAAAATAAACTGGTGGGGGTGAATTGATTTTTTAAAAAATATATTTAATTTTGTCGTTGTTATTTATTATTTAATTTGACCAACGAGACAGAGAAAGAGAAGGGGAAAGTGAGAAAGCAAGCTCATAGTTCCGAGACTTGAACCGTGGTCAGCCATGTGGGAGTTCAGCACCTTAACCACCACTCTACCTGCTGGCCCCCAATTTTTTTTTTTAGAGAGAGACTTTTTTGCTGTAGGGTGCATGCGCTCACCGGAGAGACAGACAGACAACAAGAAATTACCCACCAGGATGAATGTCCATACCACAAACTTTTCTCCTCCATTCTCCTCTCAGGACCTTGGACATGCACACAAATGTGCCCAATGGGAGTTTCAAACCATAGGGCCCAGGACTCGAACCACAGTCGACTATGTGGGAGTCCAGTGACATAACCATTATGCCATCTGCAAGTCCCAGTTGATACATTTTTAACCAACATGCTACTAGTTAAAGTGTTTATCTAAACTTGGGCCTGTGCTGTTCATATCCAGTGTCCCTGGTATGGTCCTCGAATGCATTGCCTTATGGTCCATGATCTTGTTTTGTTCGTTACAGTGTGAGCCACTGCCCTATGCTGTGTTGATGCCGGTCTGCCATGCTAGCCTGTCTACCAGGGCCAGGTGACCTGTCCTTTCAGCTTCTTTCTCACACGCAGATGAACACTGGACTTCAGAAATGTAAGTAATTTGGATCCTGGGGAAAGATGTAAGAACTCTTGTTTCATTCTTGCATTTGGGCTGTGTCACAGGCACATCTGGGATACACTGACCTTGAATTTCAGTACCTCCAAGGTATTCAGCAGAAACAGTAGGAAAGCGGCTGCAAAGGCTCTACCTGTCAGCAGTGTGAGACACAGTACTGATCAGAGAGATGCTCTTAAATGCGGTAATTCCCTAGTATATATCATCTTAATTTTAATTGCTGATGATAGCTTCCTGTTGAGTAACAAAGCTATTAGCTTTACAGGATAGGCAGGTGATAGATAGATACATATGTAGAAATATATCACCCTTCAAAAGGTGTTTCAGGGGGCCAGCAGGTAGCGTGGTTGTTAAAGGCATTGGACTCCCATATGGCCGACCGTGGTTCAAGTCCCAGATTGGGCAGCTAGCTTTCTCGCTTTCCCTTTCTCTCTCTGTCTCTCTCTGGTCAAATTAAAAAATAATGAAAACAAATGGAATTAAATAAATGAATAAATAATTCTTTAAAAAAAAAAGGTGTTTGAGGTCATAATTCCTTGAGGAATTGAACAAAAACTCAGTCCAGATTGCTTACCATATCTCCATAATACGCTGCTTTCACTGTCCTCTTGTTTTGAATTCTCTGAGTACATTCTGCCATGGAACAAGCAGTTCCCTTGGGCTTTGCTGTCTGCCTCTGAGCCAGTGTAACTTCAGTTCACAGCAAGTAGAGGAGCTTTGGCCTTCAGAGAGGATGGGAGCTAGTTTTCTCATTTTCTGGGTGTTTTCCTGTTAATATACTTCTCATAAGATCGAGCCTTTGAGAACGGTTAGATTCCTTTCTTAGCTGGCTAGAATTGGGGCTTTATTTCCCATATTTTCCTGATAACTACCTTCTGTCCCTACACTACACAATATGTAAGGAAAAGAGTCTTAACTCCTGACACATTACCGTGGACATATCTTCAAGTATAAAATTAGCCTGAAATTTAGAATAAACTTCCTTTCAGAGGACTGCCTTGTACCACAGTGGTTAAGTTCTGTGCATTGGAAGCCACAGCCCGCAGCGCTGACTGAATCCTGGTCTGGCAGCTTGAGAAATGGGGCATGTGGGCCTATGTGTCCCAAATCCTGACAGGATGGAGAAATGCAGGAAATGGGATTGCAACATGATCATTCCCCATTGGGGGGCTGATTTGTTATCTTGCTCTCTTCATAGAATGTGCAATAAAATATAATAAGCCTTACTTTCAGATCAAAAAGGAGAAATCAGTGAGGAAGTTAAACTTAACCTTTAACTGGGAAGGGTGCTTCAGCACCTCTCTTGAATCTGATATAATAGGAGTTAGCAAACTTTTTCTGTGAAGTCCAGATAGCAAATATTTTTAGCTTTGTGGGCCATATGGTATCTGCTGCATCCACTCAGCTCCACCACTGTGGAACAAACACAGCCATAGACAGTATGTGAACACATGAACAGTACAACTTTTTGCAAAAACACACGGCAGCTGGAGTTGGCATGTGGGCAGTAGCTTGTTGACCCCTGCTCTGCGAGATCATCATCAGAAATGTATAGGCTCTTGACTTCAATTATTTGAGGGAGCCTAAGGATCTGAGCCTGGCTAGTTCTGAAATCTGGCCGGTGACTCTAGCTCTGTATAGTGACATATCTGAAGGTGACATTCTTCCTTCTTCAGCTGCCCAACAGAATAACCAAGCTCTGCTGTAGTAGCTTTCCCAACCTTGCCTTCTGTTGGAAAACGCTCCCTGGCCACCCAAGGCAGGTGACTAACTGCATCCTACCTAGCTCTGGGCTTCCAGGGACACAATTGGAGGCAGTTAATAAGATGACAGAGCGAGACCAGCAGTTAGTGTAATGGCTTTGTTGCTGGACTCCCATGTAGTTGACTGCAGTTCGAGTCCTGGACCCCGTGGCTTAAACTCACTCCAGGTGCATGTGCGTGCATGCCCAAGATCCCGAGAGGATGGAGGAGAAGGGATTTCGCTGTGGCCATCCCCTCGGAGGGTGATTTCTTGCTTTCTGTCTCTGTCTTTCTGGCAAGAGCACACACCATGTAGCAAAAACTTCTCAAAACAAAACAAAAAAACTGTCATGTGACGTAACAGCTTTTAGTATTAAACATTTACAGCTAAGGCGAGATTGTGCTTAAACTGTCTTCTTTGGGACCAGTAACCAACCAGCTATTTAAGAGTCCTGACCTATCAGCTATAAAGACCTTAAAAACAGGTTTGTGGGGGCCAGCAGTTGGCGTAATGGCTATGTTGCTGGACTCCCATGTAGTTGACCGTGGTTCAAGTCCTGGACCCTGCTGGCTTAAACTCATGCTGGGCGTGTGTGCGTGCGTGCCCAAGATCCTGAGAGGAGAATGGAGGAAAAGGGATTGTGGTGTGTCCATCCCCCCCTGGGGGGTGATTTCTCGCTTTCTGTCTCTCTGTCTCTGTGTCTTTCTGGTGAGCACATGCGTCCTATAGCAAAAACCTCTCTTTTAAAAAACAAAACAAAACAAAACAAAACACAGTTTTCTGGGGGCGGGCAGATGGCATGGTAGTTAAGGCGCTGGATTCCCACATGGCTGACCATGGTTCAAGTTTTAGATCTGGTGGCTTGCTTTCTCACTTTTTCTTTCTTTTTCTCTCTCTGTGTCTCTCTCTGATTAAAACTTTAAAAGTAATGATAAATTAAATAGTTATTAAAAAAAAAAAAGTTTTGTGAGGACCAGTGAGTAGGTGGCATGGTGGTTAGGGCACTTGGCTCCCACATGGTTGACTGTGGTTGGAGTCCTGGACCCAGTGACTTGAAAATCATGCCAGACATGAATGCATGCATGTCCACAATCCCCAGAGGAGACTAGAAGAGAAGGGATTGCGGTCTGGCCATCCTCCCAGGCAGGGATAATTTCTCATTTTCCCTCTCTTGGTCTCTGTCTCTCACTCCCTGGCAAGTGGATGCTCCCTATGTAAAGAAAAAAAATGGGGGGTTGGGCAGCAGGTGGCATGGTGGTTAAAGGCACTGGATTCCCAAGTCCCAGACCTAGCAGCTTTCTTTCTCACTTTCTCTTCTCTCTGTGTCTCTATCTGGTCAAATTAAATAATAATAACAACAACAACAAACAATTAAATAAATAAATAATCTAAAAAGTTTCATGACTGCTATTTGTCTCCATGCCCCCACCCTCCCATCCTCAGGAGTCTGAAAAGTGGAAATCTAGAGCTTGGTGTCTGGTGGGGCTGAATGGAGCACACGTGTTTATAGTGAATGTGCTTTATTTATATTTGGAGTCTTCAGAAGGTTTCTAGAAAATTCGTATTATGAAAAAACTATGGACCTACTTTAGTGGCTTAGTTGGTTGCAAATCAAACTGCAGTGCTTGAAGTCAGAGTGCTGACTGTGGATTCAGACTTTGGGTGTACCCTGGAAACATAGTGGGTGCCCAAGGTCTTGATGAGCTGGAGGGCTGGGGAAAGGGAATCAAGGCGTTGTGAGAGTCTATGGAGGGTCTCTCCCTTCTCTCTCTCCCCCTTTCCCTCTCCCCCTCTCCCTATCCCACTATCATAAAGAAAATAAAGTTTGGGGAAAAAAGTATGCATAGATTCAAAATTTGTACCAAAGTAAACTTTTTTTTGGAGAGACTTTTGCTATAGGGCACGTGTGCTCACCACAAAGACAGAGACAAAAAGGGAGAAATCACCCCCCCCAGGGGGTTGGCCACACCACAGTCCCATCTCCTCCATTCTCCTCTTAGGATCTTGGGCACACACACACACACACACACACACGCCTGGTGTGAGTTTAAGCTGCGGGGTCTGGGACTCGAACCACGGTCAACTACAGGGGAGTCTAGTGACATAGCCATTATGCCAATTGCTGGTCCCCAAAGTAAACTTTAAAAAAAAAAAAAAGAATTTATAGGGACCAGCAGGTATAGTGGAGGTTGAGGGTGCTAGACTGCCACATGGCCGACTGTGGTTTGAGTCTGGACCTGGCAGTTTGCTTTTTCCCTCACCCCACCCCCCCAAATTAAAGTAAGTAAATAAATACATAAAGTTAAATAATTTCTTTTATTTATTTATTTATTTATTTTAGAGGTTTTTGCCCTAGGGCACATGCACTCTGGAGAAAGATTATTGTCTTTTTGAATTTTTTTTCTATAGGACATGTGAGCTAGTCAGAGTGAGTGAGTCAGAGTGAGAGTGAGAGAGAGAGAGAGAGAGTGCAAGCCACCAGATCTGAGACTTGAACTGTGATTGGCCATGTGGGAGTCCAGTGCCTTAACCACCACGCCATTTGCTAGCCCCTAGCCCTGTAAACGTGTATTTCTAACTCCCTAAGTCCATGTACTTTTTGAAGAGTTTTCATTTTCTAAAAGCTTGAGGTAGGAGAGGTGGACCCGGGGTCAGGAGATGGGGTTTGTGGCTTCCTGGCCCCAGCTCTGTAAGGCATCTCTAATGTCTTTCCTCCAGGCTCCAGCTGCTGTATGTTCAGAATCACAGGCTCGAACCTTCTCTTTGCTCTTCTCCCCTTTCTTTTCTTTGTGTCTAGGAGGATGTGGTGCATTTCTCCTGATTGTATAATTTACCATAGGACAGGCTTGATTAAATACCGTCTTGGCTTTAGGTAGGTCCTGTACTTGCCAGAGAACCACTGTGGGGGTTAGGTAGATGCTTGTCTGGAGAGTACATTCCATGGTGTTGGTTGCTTTGAGAGCTCTGCGATTTTAGAGCCCTGCAAATTATGTTTTCCATTGATGTATCTTATTCCACTGACCCAGAAAATGTGTTTTTTTTTTTTTTTTTAAGATTTGCTGTAGGGAGTATGTACTCACTACAGAAACAAGGAGAGGGAAATGGCTGTAGCTCCAGTCTCTTCTCTCCTCCATTCTCCTTTTGGGATTTGGGGCACATGCACTCATATACCCAGCATGCTTTCCAAGTCACTGGGTCCTGGACTCAAACCCTGTAGTCAGCTATGCAAGATCCAGACGCCTTAAATACCACACCACTGACTGGCTGTAAAATGTGATTCTGAAAAGTTGTTGTTTCTTCCTTAGTTGTTTCTGCCTCTGCTTTGTATTTCCTCTGCTCAGGATCAGGTATTTAATAGTCTCAGTAAATATTTATGGTGTGAATGACTGGAACGTATTTTAGATAGCAACTTTGGCCTCTTTCATGGCAGAGCCTTAAGGGTCCTGTCCTGGGACAGATGTCAAAATGCCTTTTACTGCTTCTTTATATATTCTAGTCTGCCCCCTAGTGGAGGCGCTTGGAAATGGCAAATTGACCCAATGACTAGATAAACTCAGAAATATTGGAAATAATAGCTTGTTGAGTACCTACTGTTTGTGTATGTTTCATTAAGTCCTCAATAACTCCATATGGGATTTTTTTTTTTAATTTACTTACGTGTTCATTTTTTTAGGTTTTTGCCATAGGGAGAGATGGAGACAGAATGGATAAGTGAGAAATCACCCCTGCACAACCCCTGGGAAAATGGCCACAATATAATCCCCCTCTCTACTTTTCTCTCGGGATTTTGGGCACGCATGCACATGTGCTTAGTATGATCTTGAAGCTGCCATGTCCAGGACTTGAACCACAGTCAGCTGTATGGGAATGCAGTGTCTTAAACACTGTGCCACCTGTTGGCCCCTGGAGATTATTTTAAGGATGAGGCATAGAGAGTTTGTTACTTGACATTGTCACATGACTGGTCAGTGACTGGGCTAGAACTCACATCGGATTCCAAAATCTGCTTAAAACATTGCTTTTGCATCTCCACCTGCAGATAGGTACTAGCTGCGTATGCTAACCATGACTTCTGACCTTCAGATAAGAGAGTGAACAGGGAGGTCTCCATGGGGAAGACAGGATTTGGGGAGATTTTTCCCCCTCTCCAATCCCTGGAACAGACAGCAATACTTTTTGCTACATTTAACTTTAGACTCAAGGGCAGGGATTCTGCTTTTAGGGCTTCCTTCTTTTTTTTAGAGTTATTTCTTTAATTTTAATTATTGTGATTTAATTTGCTATAGGGCTCATGCACTTACGAGAGAGAGCGAGAGAGAGAGAGAGAGAAGGAAAGTGAGAAAGCAAGCCACCATGTTCAGGACTTGAACCTTGGTCAGCCATATGGGAGGCCAACAGTGAGGTTGACCTTTATCACCATCCCACCTGCTGACCTTGGGCTTCCTTTTTTTATTTTTTGGGGAGAGGTTTTTGCTATAAGATTCATGCACTTGCCAGAAAGACAGAGAGACAGACAAAAAGCAAGAAATCACCCCCCCAGGGGGATGGCCACGCTACAATCCCTTCTCCTCCAGTCTCCTCTCGGGATCTTGGCATGCACAACTACGTGGGAGTCCAGTGACATAGCCATTTTGCCAACTGCTGGTCCCGGGGCTTTCTTCTTTAGGGTGCTTCATCCTGGCGATGGGCAGACTAGCTATCCTTGAATAAGTATTGACTGTCCTGGTTCCTGCTCACATACCATTTTCCTGTTGATTGGATCTTTCAGTCTTAGTAAGTCTATGAAGTGGGAGAGCAGGTGTCATCACTGGATAAATGGGGAGAGGCTGGAACACTCAGCAGGCAGATAAGGAAGCCGTACTTGAATCCAGATCTTTCTTTTTGTAGCCACAGATTCTCTGTTCTCCACACGCCTTAACGGCACCACTGGTACAAGACAGTTAAGCTGCTTATAGAGCCATGCTATCTGGGTTGGCTCTGCAGTTAGAGGAATACGTTACAGAAGGAAGAAAGGCTCTAGGGTGCCTTTGCAGAGGCTGCAATGTTGAAAGGTTGAAATGAAGAAAGTGCTGAGAAAAACTTTTCTAATATGCATGTTAGGTGGTGCCATATACCCAGAGAGTGACCTTTTTTCCTGTTCCATATACTCATTTCATCCTTGGGGTTCTTCCTTAACAAAGACACTATAACCTCGTGTCTATCCTCCTTTCCCTTTAATTCTGATTTCTTTGACTACCCTCTTCCCCACTGTCACTCAGTGGCTACAGGACAAGGAGAGCTAATCAGTACGGCTGAGCATCCCACTTCATACCCATTTCAGGCCACACCACCCTCTTGACTCTGCTAAGGAAAAAACAACCTGGGGGACCAGCAAAAGGCCTAATAGTTATGTTACTGGAGTCCCATGTAGTCAGTCGTGATTTGAGTCTCAGATCCGGCAGCTTAAACTCACACCAGGCACACTCACACTTCACACCAAAATCATGAGAAGAGAATGGAGGAGAAGGGACTGCAGAGTGGCCATTCTCCCAGGGGGTGATTTCTGGCTTTCTGTCTGTCTCTCCAGTTACTTGACATTGGGCATGTGCCCTATAGCAAAAATCTCTCTCAAAAAAAAAAAAAAGAAGAAGAAGGAAAGAGAGAAAAAAACTCTCAAGCTGAGAGTTAGTAGTGACTCAGAACAAAGGAACTCTTCTAACTAGCTCTTGTTCCACTGCATCTGTCTTGGATTTCAAGGCAGAGAAGCCCACCAACATGGAGATGGGGTAGAAGAAAGCCCAGGGGCAGACCTTCATATCTCCTGTCTGCACCAAACCCTGCAGCTTCGGCTGTGTGTTGCTCAGCTGAGTCCCAGCTGTTGTGCTGGGCAGTATCTGTGCTAGTAGCACCTGCTAAGCACTGAGTGTCTCTGGGCAAGGCACTAGCCAGGACCAGTCAGACACCTTCACACAAGTGACCAGAGCAACTTCCGTTGAAATTGTACTGTGTGATTCTGGGGCTGTCTCTCAGTTATTCCCATACTTTTTGTTGTTGTTGTTTTTGTTTTTTTGGTACCTGTCCGTCTCCAGGGATTGTAAGGGGATTTATAAAATAGCCCCACTTTATGGCAACTGCAGCCCATGGCAGGCCACTGGCTTTCAAGAAACAGCAGAACTCAAACTGTACTCTTAGGGCTTTGACTGATCACTACATAGCACACCTCGTAGAGGAGAGAGATTTCTAGCCTCTGCTTTCCCATCTTCCTAGTCTCAGTTGTCACCATCATATTCATCCTTTTGAGATCTTCCCCAAACTGGTTATCTCAAACATTTATCTATGAACATCTACTGAGTACTTGGTAAATAAAGCAGACTTAAATATGTTGGAATAGCTCTTCAGTACAAGGCATTGTGCCAGGAGTTGAAAGCACGGACCTTTTTCTGTCTTTACACCCTTTGCTCAGGTCTGCCTTTTTGAATAGGGACTCCTCCTGGATTTGAACTTCCTTTTCCTGATTCTGAGAGCTGCAGTTTCTAAGCAGTTGCTGCCAGCTAAGCAGCAGTGTCACCAAATGAAGGCAGCTGTGCCTTTTCCTTCTACTACACCCGGCTAGCCTCCCCTGTTCCCGTCGATACCCAGTGATGTGACTTTGAATGGAGTCTCCTTTGGGCCGAGGCCAGCTGAGGCCACAAGCCGTGCATTCAGTCCACGTAGTCCTTGGTCTCTCCTGACTGACTGCCTTCTGCATGGGTAGGAAGTGGGGAAGGAGTCCGCTCTCTGGCCTAGGCTCACAGCCAGGCCTCTCCTTCTGCTTGGGCAGTCTGTACTTACTCATTCAGCAAGCATTTGTGAAGCACCTTTTGTGTTTACTTAGGGGAGACCCTCCCTCTTAGAGAAGGAGAATGAGTGGAGCCTGGCATCCTTAAAGAGCTCTTGTTTTCAGAACCTTTTCCTTTTTGACTGGAAGCCCAACATCCGCTGGAGCCCCCTGATGGGAGGCAACAGGAGATGGGAACAAAGAGACTGTTAACATTAATGAGGCACATTGAGTGGGTATTTCCGTGGCCTCCAAAGGAAGGCAGGTTTTCCTCTTTTTTTTTTTTTTTGGAAAGTGACAGCTGACATGGCCAAATACAGACTATTTTTGGCTCTCAGGACTTGAAGATGATCCGAATCCTTTCTTCTCAGCTCCCTCCCTGCTGCCCTGTCATTATCATCATCTTCACAAGCAAATAAAGCCTTTTGATCATCACCCAGTCCAGCATAAACTATAAACAAAATTGAACTTGTGCATGGGGATTGAGAAAGATGGCAGTTTATCCCTCTGTTCCTGAGAAAGACACATCCTGTCCGCTTTGCCAGGGACCCTCTCGACAGCCACGGCATCCCAAGTGCCCTAAGGAAGGGAATGAGTGGCCACTGAGGGCCCTGACAGGCAGCTCTGCTTAGGACCTTCAGCCCCTAGGCTGGCATGGGCTGGTAGGAACTCAGAGTTCCGGCCCCTGTATTAGGGGAAGAACTTTTCATTACTCTTGGGAACTGGCCAAGTTCTGACTCTCCAGGAAAAGAAATTTCGGAAGTTGCTTTGCTATTCTGATCTTTGGTTGCCTCATTTGTGATAAGCTGGGAATCATGGTGCTGTCTGCCTCCTAAAGCAGACGAAATTCGTTGAGATAACCCATCACTTAGTGTAGAGCTCGGCCCACTGGGTAGTTAGTGCTTGTCATGGGGCCTGAAGTTGAGGTTGAGTCTAGAATGAAGGCTTAACAGCTTAGCAGCTTCCTAATCCCACCCACCCACCCACCCACCCCAGGCCCCCAAAAGGGGGGTCTAGAAGGGCTGGTTGGCTTGGCATTGATGAGCTCCCTCTCCCTCTGCTCTCCTTCCCCTTCTCTTTCTCTAGGGGACACTACACAGAAAATGAGAACTGCTCACTACCCTACCCCAGCCGAATTGGACGCGTATGCTAAGAAGGTCGCAAACAACCCACTGACTATAAAAATCTTCCCCAACAGTGTGAAGGTTCCTCAGCGGAAACACGTTCGTCGTACTGTGAACGGCCTCGACACATCAGCCCAGCGCTACAGCCCCTACCCGACTCAGGCTGCCACCAAGGCAGGCCTACTTGCCATTGTCAAAGTGCCAGCCAAAAGCATTCTCAAGGACTTTGACGGCACCCGAGCCCGGTTGCTCCCTGAGGCCATCATGAACCCCCCAGTGGCTCCCTATGCTACTGTGGCACCCAGCACTTTAACCCACCCCCAGGCCCAGGCTCTGGCCCGCCAGCAGGCCCTGCAGCATGCACAGACCCTGGCCCATGCCCCTCCCCAGACGCTGCAGCACCCTCAGGGTATCCCGCCACCCCAGGCGCTGTCTCACCCTCAGAGCCTCCAGCAGCCTCAGGGCCTGGGCCACCCTCAGCCTATGGCCCAAACCCAGGGTTTGGTCCATCCTCAGGCCCTGGCTCACCAGGGTCTCCAGCATCCCCCCAATCCCTTGCTACATGGAGGCCGGAAGATGCCAGACTCAGATGCCCCCCCGAATGTGACCGTGTCTACCTCAACTATCCCCCTTTCAATGGCGGCCACCCTGCAGCACAGCCAGCCCCCGGACCTGAGCAGCATCGTGCACCAGATCAACCAGTTTTGCCAGACGAGGGCAGGCATCAGCACTACCTCAGTGTGCGAGGGCCAGATCGCCAACCCCAGCCCCATTAGTCGCAGTCTGCTCATCAATGCAAGCACCCGGGTGTCGACCCACAGCGTCCCCACACCAATGCCTTCATGTGTGGTCAATCCCATGGAGCACACCCACGCGGCCACCGCCGCACTGCCTGCCACAGGCCCTGTCAACCTGCCCAGGCCCCCCCCCCCCGGCCCCCGCCGCCCCGCCCTGCCACAGGCCCTGTCAACCTGCCCACAGGCATCTCCCGAGCCCCCACTGGCTACCCTAGCGACCTCAAGCCAGTCGCCTGGAACCAGCACCAGCTGGCCCACCCACCACAGATGTGCAGCGGAG